AGAATTTGGTGGAATGAAGATTGGTAGGGGAAACCGTAGTACTCGGAGAAAACCTTCCCCAGCGCCACATTGTCCACCACAAATCCCACTTGGCCAGACCCGGGATTGAACCCCACATACGAGTTAGTCTTGCCAATATTTCTATCTTATACTAACTGGAAACATGATTATCTCCCCGCTTCACACTCACCCAGAAAAACGCAGCTGATATATGAGTCGAAACGTAGGAAGAACTTTTACACACGATAGAACTAAGTCTTGAAATCCGAAGTTTATACAAGGCCACGAAAATCTGAGAATAAGGATGACATCTCACTTTTTTTACTCAGTATTTTATGTCAGACTGTGCAAAGAAAAGTGACAGTATTAGTCCAAACATAATTTATTTTCTTCTTATTCTCCTACCTTGACGGAGTAGTCTCTCTGGCTTCTATCCCTTTCAGAATTAATTATGAAATTATGAATCTTGCAGGCAGTTGATAGGACTCGTTTGGCGGGGGATCAGCCCGTCGCAAGGCCGCTACCTATACCGGATAACACACACACACACACACAGAATGAACGCGAAGAGGGATCCATGCTGCGAGTGGGCTTCGAACCCACCTTCCAAGTGTTTGAGCCAATGAAGATATATGATGCCTAGGGTCTATCTTTTACTTGAAATGTACAGAAAAGAGCTGTGTGAATCTATCAAAATTGTTACCCTTCTTTTCTGGCACGTTGAATGTCATTAAAATTTGTATGCCTCGGAAGATATTCTAGAGGTCTATTAAGAGTTAGCTTTCTGTGCTGATGGGAGCTCCTACAATAGTATTTTCGTGATAATGGAGTCGGTGCTCTTTGATCACGCTCGGTTTAAATGTCAAAGCAATGTAGTAAGGGTCTTTAGAGTCCCGCTAAAAGTCCGTAGAGCTAGAGATGCTTTCTTACTAGCCCCTGGACTGATTTTAAAGAGATCATGTGTCATTTCCAGGAGATCACCTTTTTTGCCCCGAAGAAACTCAAAGTTATGACATCACAATGTGAATCTTCGATTTTCCAGAAATTCCTTGAGGATTGTTTGGTTGTTCTGTCCGAATTTCCATCGAACATGTGCATAATATTGACCATTGTATAACCTTGTCGATCACAGTCCAAGGCATGAACTGTCTTCGGCAGCTAGAACACTGGGATCGTGGATTCGAATCCCACTCAGTGCATGGATGTCAGTGTGCTTGTGTTCTGTGTTTGTGTTGTTCTGCGTGTAGGTAGCGGGACTTGCGAGGGCTGATCACCCGTCCACGGAGTCCTACCAACTTTGTATAAGACTAAGAAACTGAAGAAGCGGCTAAGGTCCAACAGAGGACTGTAGAGCTATAGACAGATAGATAGACAGACAGACAGACAGACAGACAGACAGACAGATAGATAGATAGATAGATAGATAGATAGATAGATAGATAGATAGATAGATAGATAGATAGACTGCATCGCCTCACCTAACTTCATATTTTCTCTATGAGTAATGTAGCTCATTAAGCCTTAAAGCACTACGGTAACCTGGTTCCTGGCGCAAATCTCGTACCGACCACCGATTATTCTGACAGGTTTTTTCTTAGTTTTCGTGATTTTTTCCCCAGACAAACGTCGGGATAATGCCAAAAATTATTTCTGCATCTTTCCAATCCATTATTTTGTAATCCTATGTTACCGAACGTGATGGTAGATCGGCAACACTGTGGAATTGTAGACTTGAATTCAAGATGTACTCGGTTCGAATATTGGCGAAAAAAACCTGCTATCCTCACTGAGAGTTTTTGATGGTTTACCTCAGTATCTCTAGGCAAATATTGGGATATATACAATAACGTTGTGAAGTCCGCTGAAAGTCAACCGAATTTTCGGAGGTACATGTCGCCTCCATTTTCAGGGTCGAAGAAGAAGCCGAAAAAAGATACCATTGTGGAAGCAATTGGCACGTTCCTTCAAAAGGTTGGTTCACTTTCAACGGACTACACGACGTTATTTCCCAGAAGACTGTACCCTTCATTAATTGTCATTCGTTCTATCATCCATCGTTGTATACTTTCGGTATTGACAGCGACGTTAAGTAAGTAACTAAAAGAAAGATGCTATATGGGCTTAGGACCGCCTCTGTGGTCTAGTGGTCAGCGTTCCTGGCTACACATTCAGAGGTCCGGGTTAAATTCCCGGCGCTACCAGATTTTCTGAGAAGTAGTGGGTCTGAAACGGGGTCCACTCAGCCGCGTGAGGATATCTGAAGGGCTATTTCAAGGAAATAGCGGCTCCGGTCTAGAAAACCGAGATTAAAGGCCGTGGGGATCCGTTGCGCTGACCAAGTGATACCCTCTATCCGCTAAATTTGGCACTAACTTCGCCGACAAACCGATAAGCAGCGGTCGCTAGGTCGGTATAATTCGTTTGCGGACTAAAACCATGGAGTATACGGCCTTAAATTCTAGTAGAGTATTTCAATAAGATGTAAATAAATGAAATATTTACCTGTTCTGGCCCCAGATGTGGAATATATATATATAAGGTAAACGTAAAGGTAAAGCTGTTCCTGTAACAGGCCTTGGAGTTCCTTAGGACTGTGAGACGTCGAGGCTGCCACATTTTCTAGACAGTCTACTCACAGATTGCGGTGAGGTTGTCAGCCTTACGCGTCGACGTATTTAATTTAATGATCCACGCCTTATTTCACGGAAATGTTCAAATACACATTTGTATTGATTTACTTAATTTTTTCTTTAAATGAATTGTTGTGTTCACATTTTTGTCTTCAGATACATTCATTAAAAATCTCAGTTAACTTGTTGGATCTGAGGTTACCACAACGGTGATTATGAAGTATACTGAAGAGTACTATCTTTCGGGATATAACGACGTGTTGAAGATCAACCAACGTTGCGGAGGAACATTCCACCCATTTTCACGCTGGTTTCTTTCTCGTCTAATTTTTCGACCCTGAAGATGGGGACGACATGTTCCTCCGAAACGTCCGTTGACTTTCACCGGACTTCACGGCGTTATATCCCAGTAGATATGGCCACCGCTGTAAGGATCTCGAATCTTAACATGAAGAATACTGTCTTCAGAGACTGCCTAGTAGCTCGATAGAAGGTTGCCGTCGTTTCGGATTAACACAGTATTTCCATCTTCAGGGTCGAAGAGTATATATATAATGTACAAGGGGTGGGCCTTCTTGGCCCTTGCACTCCGCCCACAGTGATCTGTCGTGCCTTGGGTCGAAGAGTAAGCAAAGCAAGAACCGGCAAGAAGCAAGCACCAAGTTTGTTTTTCTGTAAGACTTAAATTCTCATAGTGGGGGTTGGAGTCCAGCTGGATCCATTCGGCACGGCAGCCACTTATTGGCCTATTGTACCTGCCCCGGGTGATTATGGTGATGGAGAATTTGGTGGAATGAAGACTGGCAGGGGAAACCGAAGTACTCGGAGAAAACCTGCCCCAGCGTCACTTTGTCCACCACAAATCCCACTTGCCCAGACCCGGGATCGACCCCGGGCCGCCGCGGTGGTAAGCCAACGACTAACCGCTTGAGCTATGGTGCGGCTCTCTGCCTCTAAGTACATATATTTAACTGTCGATTGTATCACCTTATCCAGGATATGGGGAAAATATAGAACATTCGACACACATTCTTTAGCACGAACAGGCTAATTCTATGTAACATGATGGTAAATAGTTACCTCGTCTTTTCTTCTTAAAAATAGTATGTATGATTTTTTGTAAGTTTTGGTGTTTGAACACGTCATCAGAATGTGTGATCAGAGGCTCGATAACAGATAATAAGAAAATCTGAAAGGTAGAGACGAGTTTGTAGACGTAAGCGTATTGGGAGGATACTATTAAAATGGATCTTAAAGAAAGTGTTTTTTTTTTCGGAATTTTGGGAATGTGTACGTCTGGCTAGTGACAGATCCCATTTTGGAACTTATGTAAATTCTGTACTAAACAATCGTGTTCAATAAAGGGCTGGAAATTTCTTGGCCAACTGAGCGACTATTAGTTTCTTGAAGGCTCTGCTCCATGGAGTTAAGGCTGGTCATACACGTTCTTTCTTGCTCTTTATTTTGCTGTGTGCTGTGAATCCTAAGGGTAAGAGGGGTCTTTTCTAGGGACAGAATCACAAATAAAAATTCCGGAGCGGTCTAGCACGCAATTGCAGCTTGAGTGTTGTGGGCAAGAGGCATGTTACTTAACGGTTACCGTGCGCTTTCAAACACAGAACTGAACGATTGGAAGCTCATCAAACGCCCATACTCGTAGGCACACAAACAGAGGGTCTCTAGAGATTAATTCAACTGAGTAAGTAAATAACACAATCATTCCATGGAGCTCATTTCTTCTTGAGAAGCCAAGATTTGCTTAACCATTCAAGAATTTCCCAGCATTGTACGGAAGGCAGAGGCTCTTTACCGTATTCACAAGAGCCCGCAATTGATCACTGACCTGAGACAGATGAATCTAGTAGATACAGTTCCATGTCTCTGAAACCCATTCTAATATTAATTTCCCGTCTTTTCCTAGTGGCCACTTTCCTTCAGGTTTCCCTACAAAACCCCGTTTGCACTCTTCTGTTCTTTTCTCTTCTCTTCTCTTCTCAACTCATTTCTTCTCTTCTCGTCTTCTTCTTCTCTCTCCTCTCTTCACTCTTCTCTCTCTTCTCTTTTTTCTCTTTTTTCTTCTCTCTTCTCCTCTCTTCTCTCTTCTCCTCTCTTCTCTCTTCTCCTCTCTCCTCTCTTCTCCTCTATCCACTCTTCTCCTCTCCTCTCCTCTCTCCTCTCCTCTTCTCTTTAAAAAATGACATCATACGCAACCCACCTCATCTTCCTTGACATAATCATTCTAACTTGGCTTATGTATATTTTGTGTTCCTGTTTTTAAAGTAAGTGCCAGGGCGAAGTGAAAGCACTCACCCTGGACAGCCCTGCCTCGAAGCTTTAAGAGCGCAGAATGAAGCGTGTGATGCGTTGCAGGCCGCAGCATGTACGGGCTGTTACTGGAGAACATGGCGGAGTACATCAAGCAGGTGTACGGCGAGGACCGGTGGGAAGAGATCCGGCGCCAGGCGTCAGTGGACCAGCCCAGCTTCAGCGTACATCAGGTCTACCCTGAGAACCTCATCCCACGGCTCGCTAAGAAGGCCATCCAGGTCAGCTAACACTCCCTCAGAACGCTAAGCTTAATAGAGTTTGTACGAAGTTGAATAGTCCTCTTCCCACTGTTTTGTAATAAGCAGGGCCCGGATTTTGATGACCTGAAAATATTTAAAAAATGACATATAAAATGACCGAAAGAAATCCAGAAAAATGACCTAAAGGAGAAAAGAAAGAACACTTCGCCTCCATATTATTCACATTTCAGAAAACATATGAAGAAAAATTCCCTAAAATGGCCAAAAATGACAAGAAGTATCCTTAAAAGTAAAAAAATTACCCCCAAAATGAAAAAATGACCTTAAACCTAAAAATTGCAAAAAATTACCTATAAAATTTACATTTCTGAAACCAGCTGCTCATATCCGAGATTTATATATTTAAGAGCATCGCATAGGATACAAGGAAAAAAATATGACATGCCATCAAAATCCGGGCCCTGGTAATAACCCATTCACAGAGCTGAGAAGTGCCTATGCTTAATTATCTCTTCATGAAGGCGTATTTTCCTCAAACGAAGATAGCGAGGGCGTTACCAAGGCCCGCATACATGTACTGTACAAGTTGAAAACATTGGCATGATTTTTATGCATCCTACCGTTGCCGTTTATTACACGAACGATACAAAAGTCAAGGTTATCACTTCTACACACCACATGACTCACCTTCTCTTCATTGAAGGATGGTGTGTGCAAGTGTAGCTGTAGATCGGCCCATGTTTAATGCTGACACTGGATGGAGCCTGGATAGTTCGCCGCCACAGTATAGGAAATAGGCTATGGACGGGGACAGTTTTACCTTTACCAAACTTCCTACCTAGTGGGTGCAGATGGCTCTTTTCCCGCGGATAAAGCAGCCTGGGCGTAAAGCTTAAGATTCGCTTCCATCTATTGCCCAGGGTAAGAATGCTTGGTAGCCTACCCATCACTTTCTCTCACGTCTTCACGGTGTGGTGCTCAGGTAAGCATAGGAACAATTTTTTTTTCGCCATTGTTTGTATACTTACAAAATCGTATTTCCAGAGTTTAATTATTCAGACTTTCAATTATTTCATATTTTTTGTTATCGTCATGTTTCTGCCTTGCTTTTTAACGTTGCGAAATGGAACACGCATTTTATGTTTGTCAGAAAGATTGGATTCGCACATTTCATTTACCTACAACAATAAAAGTAGTAGGTGGGATGCTGAAATTGAAAATCATTATTTTGTGAAAAAGTGGAACTGAGTTTGGTTGGGATACGAGTATTATCTGTTAATACGTTTCAATGAATAATGTATATATTTAACAGTTATAGAAAGTTATAAACATTTATGAATTAAATATCACAGCACGTGCATAATAAGAGATTTACATTATAACGAGAACATCCAGAATTCAAAGTTCTTTCCATTTCGTAAATCAAGACTTCGAGTTACAAAACACAAACGATCTCTCGGAAACTTCAACTCGTGAATTATGAAACTGCATCAATCGATGCTGAAACTCTCGCATTCGTAACAATACAATAGGATTTCTAATTGCAGCTTTTTTTTTTATGTGAGCGCAATAATATAAAATTTGGAATCATATCCGATTGCAGTCACAGAAAATCAGTAAATGTACAGTCATCGACTCTTTCCTTTGGCTATTCATAAGAATACATTCAAATTGGTGTCTTAAAACAACTCAAGTTAGGTCATATGGACCTTTCACAGCTGTTTTGTCGATAGTGACAATCGTGTAATGCATATGTCCATTTGTTGATATAAAATACCTATATTCTTATCATACCCATTATCATGGATACGTAATATTAGAAACTACAAATAGAATTCACATCCGATAGTAGGGGAATCTTTGTTCGGAACTTCGAAATGTAGTTAAGAGTATTTTTGTCTCATAGCATACAATTTAGAATGAATGTTGTTAATTAGTTAATTTCTTTCTTTAAAATTTTGTATTGTAACATATTAGTTCATATTGTTAGGTATTGAAAAACATCTTTGATTTCTGCATTTTATCGTTCTTACTTAAATTTCCTGATACCCAATTCCCACGACTGCACTCTCTTTGTAGTTTCTCACGTGATTTATGTGGGCCCTAAAAGTCGCGGGGGCTACTAAATTTACTTCAGACACTTATTCGGCTGAGAACTTAGAGAAGAAACTAAAGGGAACAGAGACAGTTTGTTACACCAATTTTTTATGTTTGAATTGGTCATCTACCTGGGTGTTTTGAAGTAGAAAAAGAAACTGTTGTGTTACTAAGCTCAAAACTCTTTTTTCCCCCCTCAGGACTGCATTAGACCAGATTTATTATAATAGCAGTTTCCAAAATTTATATAGCGACACTACTTTAGCTTAGAAACAATTTTATCATTCCTCCTTAACTTTGTGTATACATATAGAGCAGGTATGTCCAACTTCAAACAGGTTCTGATTAACTTTTTAGTGTCAAAACTTTCAGTGATCAACCACCCCCTCCTATCGTCGTACTTCGCTTTAAGCAAAAATATTGGTAAAAATAACACGAGACATGATTTTTGTTGTAAAATCAACATACAATGAAAGTGCAGACTACTTTAATACGTATTTTCCTTTCAAAATCTGAATATAATAATATTATATTACAGTGAATTTACATGCTTTTCACGTATAATTTCCTTATAGGCCTATGATATCGACCAAAAATCGCCCCGCGATCGGCGCGTTGGACATGCCTGATATAGAGAAAAGCTTTCTAAATTTTTTCATTTTTAAAATAGTCAGATTTTAGGTTTATATCAGATTATAATATTTAGGATTTTACAGCTGCACGAAATTAAACAACCGATCTCGAACATTTGGAGAATTATAATGAGTTCAGTTTTACTATAAGACTCCCAGAGTATCTAATGCCTCCCCCCAGGGCAGATTACCGTAATGTTCGTCGGCTTGCCGTTGTGTTGCAGAGTTTCAAATAATCAGGGACGGGACCGGAAGATGGCAGGAATAAACGGTAATGGAAAGTATGCGCCATATTACAACGTCGACTGAAAGAATAATCTTAAGATATCGGCGTCGGTTTTTATATTAACTCATCTTCCGAGAATCAATCAATCGCAGTTTCAAAATGTCCATCAGGGGCTCTAATAACGGTTGGCGCTACAGCACTTCTTGATCCGTGACAGTAGTGAAACAAGCGGCTGCCTGGGGCTGTACGGATTTAGGGTTGGCACAGTTTACAAGTCCCCTTTTAATTTTAATAAATTAATTCGGTTACCCTTGTGTTCATATCGTGCCCATTAATTGGCAGTAATCTAAAGATGTTATGCAGCAATGTAAATGAAACAGCTTTAAGAAGCAGGACATTAGCGAACGTCACAGTGCCTGAAAATATATCATTAATTGTGACGACACTCCGAGAAATCTGATCAGTTTCTCACAGAAAGGAAGGTGCGAAATTCCACGTTTTTTTTGGAGCTGGGTTTAGGCTGACTTCAGCCCTGGAAGGAATGGATGAATGCAAGGGTTATTGTAGAAACCATAGCTGGAGACTGGAACTTGCAGGTTTACCAATGAATTTTTAGTGGGTTTTCTTCGTTGTGAAACGGGAAGGATCAACACCCTCATGAAAGTCTATACCTCAACCATTTTTTTAGCTATTCCAGTGCCTTTAAAATCTTCAAAATCTGTTTGGCACTCTCAGATAACTGACTAGCTAACTCCATGGAGCTGAACCTTTCTCGATAAGCCACCCTTCGCTTAGCTACTCAAGAAATTTCCAAAATATTATGGAACCCGAAAGTTCATTACCATCTTCAAAAATCTTCTAGAGGATTATATTATCCAGACTGAATCAGCATGTCTATGACCATAATATTATAATTAATGAACAATTTGGTTTAGACGTCAATCTTCAGCTATTAAAGCTTCATATGTATAAATTAATGAAATATTAGAAGCATTAAATAAGCAAAAAATCGTAAGTGGTATTTTTTGCAACTTAAAAAGGCTTTTGGTAGTGTTAATCATGGGATTTCATAATTCATAATTCATAATTTTATTTACATCCATAACTGTAAAATATACAATCGGATAAAGTCAAAGGAAATATACAGATTTAATAACAATCACACCTAACATAATCAAAGAATACATAAATACTTAAATATATTATATAAAAGAAAACCACCAGCACATGCATTAACAGACAATTACAGTTGTTTAATTCAACATCTTACATATAAAGAAACTCCTGAAGAGACTAGAAGGCACTATGCAACAAATAACACTTCAATTTCCTCCTAAACACTTTAAAATCAGATACATTCTTTAACTCCATAGGAAGATTATTGTATAGTTTTATGCCCATGTTTATCACACTTCTCTTACAACGATTTGTATTACAATGTTGGGCATACAGATTATGTTTATGCTTTGTATTGTAATTATGCACATCAGAGTTCAGAGTTGTATAGATTCTATTTTTTATGATAAAACATAAAATCTCCAGTATATACAAAGAAGTAACAGTTAAAATTTCTAACTCACCAAACAGCCTTCTGCAGGATGCCCGATTATCAACGCCCATAATGGCTCTTATGCATTTTTTTTTGTACTTTAAAAACTGTATCTATCTCTTTACCTCCACCACCCCAAAACATAATACCATACTTAAATATGGATTCAAATTTAGTAAAATATACATTTCTTAATACCTGTAAACTAACAGAATTACGTAAGGATTTGATCAGATATAGAGCCTTGCTCAGCTTAAGGCAGATATATTGAGTGTGATTCAACCAGCTCAAATTTTCAGAGATATCAATACCCAAGAATTTCACCGAAGATGAATATACTAATTCCCTATTGAATAAACATATGACCGGTCTGTTCCTAGAAGTAGATCCTTTTCCATGGAAAAATAATACTTTGGTCTTGTCAGTGTTAACAAAAAGTTGATTCACATGAAACCAACTTTCTAGTTGATCAATAACCTTTTGATTTTTATATTTAAAGAACTAAGAGAGTTAT